TATTATAGTATAGAATGTGATTACACAGGTAGCCTTATTTATAGTCTCTTATTCCTACTTGCATACTCTTCTAATGGCTATGAACAGCCATTACCAAACTAACTATTTTACTTCATTAACTAACAACCCCGTCAATTAATATGATATTACAATTATGTAACAGATGACAAGATTGAGACAAACAGGATTGTTAGAAGATCAAATGAAAGGAAAAGCACAGCTCTAGGTGGCAATGAAAGAAAATAATTGCTTAATTATTTACTTATTCAACACATTTGTAAGAGAAACAGAATAGAAGAGACATGGAAGCAAGAAGCATGAGAGAAACGTGAACTCAATCAGATTATACCATACTTCTTTCAGCTGCTAAATTGCTATCTATATCTCAGGTAGTTAGTAATAGTTAACCATCTAAATAGTTGGAAATAACTATTGCAGAGGCATGGAACAGAGCCACTATGAAGAAGTTCTGTGAGTTATTATGGAAACTTCAAGTTCATATTGGTCATGGGTCGATAACAGGAATTGAACTCTATCAGATGTAATTTCTTGTTGTTCCTCAATAGTTCAGCAGTACAGTGGTTGCTTGATAATTGACTAGTCATAGGTTTTAATCCTACATGGGGAAGTTTGGCAAATTCTTTAGTTCAGAATGAAAGATTTCACTTTGACCATTAATGGAAGGTAACCCGTTTCTAATGTCTTTGTTTCTAGTACATTATATCTCATTGTATCCCATTCTGTTATGCAATATTTAAGAGTTGCCATCAATATCTTAGTATAGGTCTGAGGCACTCATTTGTTTCACAATCCAAGGCTATGCAAACTAACCAATTACTAGTACTAACATGTGCATCTTTGATGCAGTGATCGATTCTCTCACGAAGCCACAATTACCATAGGCAAACATATTAATAATGAGGAAGTTATTTTTGGTAGCTCTTTCCCAATTCTCCTTCCTAACACACTCACCAGTATGCTTGAAATCAAAACTTCATGACAATTGTCCAATGTAAATCTTCCATAATCAAATTAAATAGTTTTAATATTATGTTTTATTTATATCCATCAGAACCAGCAGTAACAAGAAATTTAGATACACAGTGAATAAGGCTGCTGTTATAATTCAGAAAAGCATCAAACATGGACTTTTCCAAAGTCATTATAATAATATGATTCTCTTCCAAATAATAGAGAGAAGACCAGCAAAGTTCTTTGTAGACCCTAGCCAAAATTACTTCACAAATAGAAACTCCAAGATAGTTAAGTTTAACCATGACTAAAACAATTCACATGAGAAAATGTTTCCCCTTGGTAATGATTTAAACACTTCCCTCAATCCATAAAATGCACTTTAATTTAAAGAATCTCATTATTGTCATGAAATCATTATTTTTTGTCATCCATTTAGATGGAAAAAGAATTTGTTGATTTGTAGAGAGCATAATACAAAAAGGTACAAAGATTGAGCACGACAGATTGTCCTCAACTGAAAGGAAACCTCTCATGTTTTAGTCCAAAAGGGCTTCAAATCCCATGGGTAATCTACAAGGGACACTCCATGAGGAAAACATAAGGGAAACCAACAATAGGATATTCAAAGATGCGTAGTTAAAGAAATCTTTGATCGAACACTCTTGCAGTACATCTAAAACAAGAACACAGCTAAAGTTTCCATATTCTTATTCACCACACTCCCCTAAGCCAAGCTCTTTTATAAGCAGATATTCCTCCAGTCTATGGAAGCTATACCAGTTGGAGTGAACACCTATTCAGAGTAATATATGGTGTTCAAAACTAAAACAAACTCATTTCTTGTTTCTCTTCTTTCCTGCACTCGTCCTAAGCATTCACAGACACGCAAAAATGAAGGAAAGAACTTTCAAGTAACTTAGTCATTCAAGGCCCAACAGTAACTAATTCACTGTCAAAACATATTGAATCATTTGTACCAAAAAAAAAATTGAATCATGGCCAAAATTGGAAATTCAAGAGCCCTAAAATAGAGCATAAAACTCGAATTGAGAGCAAGAAGGCAGGATTGGGTACCTGCTGAACATAATTGGCGTGCATAACTACGAGAATACAGAATAAAGTGATGGCTACGAACAGGTTCAAATACTCCAAAGCAGCTCTAACTTTCGGGGTCAACATCTGGGAAAACCTTTCCTGCACGCGGATAAACGTCTGTTCTGGATCCATGAAGGAGTTTAAGAACAAGCCAAAAAAAATTCCCGAGAAAGTAGTGGAATTTCTCAGTTTTCAATTCGTCGTCGATTTGGGAAACAGGTTTTTCCGCTCTATACACGATTATCAGCTGGATTTTCCGCCTGCACGTTTTAAACGAGGTGAAGACGAGATTAAGGGAAGGCAAGGAAGCAAAGTTAAAAACTGTCTTCTTTCCTGGTTTTTTTTTTTTTTTTTAACTAGTGCTATGGTCTATATATTATTATATCCTACAGGGTTCGTTTGGTAAATTAGAAGAGGTTTTATGAAAATGAAAATGGAGATGAGAGTTTAATTAAAACAGCTGAATCTCAATCCTCATCCGTAAGTTATGATGCATATATACAAATAATATAATAAGTAAATCGAATACAATATATGTGTGTGTAGAATACTATATATATTTGATATGTTGATATTTTTATTTTTAAAAGATATAAGATACAATATTTATTCAATACATGTATATATATTTATAAAAATATTAAAAATATAATTTCAATTCAAAAAAATCCAAACTAATATACTTATATAAATCACAAGTGTAAATATTGTGAAAAAAAAAATAATTAAAAAAAATTATGAAAACTCCACTATTAATCTCAATATTGTGAAATAGAGCTATCCAGATATAAAGACAAAAGTAACTGGTGGCCGACAAAATAAAAAGTAGCTGCCTATTAAAGACAAGAAAAAATGGAAGACAAAAAGAGAAGTATCTCAAAATTATTTTATCTTTTGTAATTATTTTTTTATCTTTTGTAATTAATTAAAAATAAATTTGTTTTTTGTAATCATTAAAGTTAGATTTTATCTTTAATTAACTTTGGTTATGCAACTAAAATCGGTATATTTATTTTATATAAAACCATGTAAACTTAATCATTAGTAAGTTATGATACACACATACAAATAATATAATAAGTAAATCGAATACAATATATATATATATATATATATATATGTATGTAGTATACTATATATATTTGATATGTTGATATTTTTATTTTAAAAAATATAAGATACAATATTTATTCAATACATGTATATATATTTATAAAAATATTAAACATATAATTTCAATTTTAAAAAATAAAAACTAATATGCTTATGTAGTATTTTATAATAATATTAAATAAAACATGAATTGTATATTAATTCTATGTATATGTAATTGCCTACCTCCTAATACTCACTAATAATTTCTTGCTTAGAATTTACATGTCAAAAAATTACATTTATATGTTTTATAATTAAAAAATATAATCTTTATTATTTTATTATGTCTAGAAATTATTTTTTACAAAAAATCTAATCTTTAATTTTAAAATCAAATCACAAAAATATATTAAAAATAAAAAAGATTAATATCAAAATATTTAAAAAATAATTTCTTACAAATAACTTTAAAATATCAATTTTAAAGTATTAACCTACAATCTAAAATTATTCAATATACATTAAAAAATTAATTTTTTTAAAATTTAAAAAAATATTTCAATACTTTACAACTATATATCGATAAAGTATTGATGCTTTATAGGTAAAAAATAAGTTTGAAAGGAGGTTTCGCTTGTAGATGGAATGGAATAGTTGTAGTAATTTTATTAAATATATGTGTTTTTATGAAGAGAAGACAAAAATACCTATCAAATTTAGAGAGAGAGAGAGAGAGGACAACATTAAAGTTTCAAAAGGGTAAATTAATAACAATTATATTTGTAAATCTAAACTGGCTTAAAGCTTACTCAATAAATAGATCAGGTTTGGCTGTATCTCAAAAAATTATTAAAAAATAAAAAATAACATATTAATTTTAGTTATTAACAAAAAATATAATTATCTCCATCTAAAATATATTCCCTTGAAAACTAATATTATGATCAAAAGTAATTTTTTAAAAAATGTAAAAATAAACAATTATGCATTATTGTTACATAATATTAAGTAAATAAATTCATTTAAAATTTTAATCTAATTTAAAATATTGAATTGATTTCTTAGAAATTTCCATCGTAATAATAAATTTAATTTAATATATATATATATATATATATATGATATATTAAGAAAAACAATATCATAAAATCAATGAATGTTCATAAAAAATTAAGATGACTTGTCGTTTTAACTAGATTGAGATGCTCATGCAATGAGTTTCTACTGTCAATTATCAGGTTCTCATTATGGATCTCCTACAAACATTCAACCTGCAGCCAAGGTGGCCTGAGACAAGGCGATCTTGATCTATATGGCCCCTTTTCTTTTATTTTATGCCCAAATGTTCTTTCTTGCCTTATTCTTCAAGATCAAAATAAGGGATGGGGGAACGGATTTGAAATTGCTAGAAATTCCTTACCCCTTACACACTTGATGTTTGCGGAGGATACAATTTTCTTTTCTTGGGCAAACATTGCCACTGCTACAAATGTTAAACTGGTGCTGGTCGTCATTCCCTAGTATCAGGACAAGAAATTAATAGAGGAAAATCAAGTTTGGATTTTGCTTCAGACGTACCCATACAACTAAATAGCAAATTTCCCAAGCTTTGCAGATTACTTTTTCTTCCTCTAAGGGCAAGCATCTGGGAACGTCATTAATTTGTCCCAGTCAAGTCCACTGTACTTCCCATTTTTGTATGTCCTCTGTCTTCATATAAATTTCCCAAATATATTTGTCATCAAATTGGCAGCGAAATTCAAATTTTGAAGGTGCAACTTTTTTAGACTCTTAATTGTATAACATCACATTATTATAGACACATGAACAGAAAATGAAAACAAAGGAAGAATTGAGATTTGAGACCATCTTGAACTATTCGTGAAGTTAATACATTTCAATTCTACCCAAAACAAAATTCAGAATCAATAGAAAAATCCTAATTACAGATCCAAAAAGGAGTGAAGAGTTCTATCAATTTGTCGATCTGTAACCACATGATTTGCATGGTGATGTTGGCTGCAAATACAAGAGCGCCAAGAGGTGTGAGTCCAAGGTGGAATCTTCCACAAAAACTCCTGAAATAAATCTTTCTTGGTGCAATTTCATGTCAATGCACATAAGCATACATTCAGCTATCGCCATTTCTAACCAGGTCCTCAGCTTTCCCTATTGCCTCCATTATAGAGATATAGGTGCTGTCACTGGGAGTGATGCCATTACGTACCATTTCTTTGAGGAGTTCTTCAGCACGCTCACCTTCTTGGTTTTTGCATAGTCCTTGAATAAGAGCATTGTAAGTGAGAAGGGTGGGATTAAATCCTTTACTCAACATTTCATCACGAACTCCAAAAGCATCCTTCATATCACCTCTTTTGCTGTAACCACTAATAATTGTATTGTAACTAATATGATCAGGCTTGATTCCCCTTCTTTTCATCTCGTCGAGAAGTTGACGAGCTTCTTCCACCTTCCCCTGCCTACAGTATCCTTGCATCAAGGTATTATAAGTAACTTCATCAGGTAGAACCTTCATCTTATCCATCTTTTCTAGAACTGCAAATGCACGTTCTATATTACCATTTCCACAGTGACCATCAATCAATGCATTAAACATAATTAAATCTGGCCAAAGACCTCTTTGTTGCATCTTCTTGAACAAGTTGTCTGCCTCTGTCATTCGGTTCTTTTTACCTAAAACAAAAATGAGTGATGTATATGTTACCTGGGTTGGCTGAATCCCTTTTTTCATCATTTCATCATAATGGCTAAAGGCTTTCTCCACATCCCCACATCTGCAACACCCATTAATCAATATGTTATATGTAATAACATCAGGATGGATACCTTTTTCTCTCATTTCTTTTATCATATCATCAGCTTCACTCATTCTTCCTTCCATAAGTAGTGCATGAATTAATAAATTATAGGTCACCAAAGAAGCATTTATGCCTCTACTGATCATCTCATCCCTGCAGGCAGTAGCTTTATCTATATCTCCTTTATTGCAGTATCCATCAATCAATGCATTATATGCTACAGCATCAGGGACCGACATGCTCTTGAGAAACTTAGATGCTTCCTCAATCCTTCCTGATTTACACATTGCGGTAATAAAAGTGTTATATGTATAACTATCAGGCTCAAGGCCTTTATCTTTCATATCTTTGAAGATGTCTCGAGCCACATCAACCTTCCCTCTCATACAATATGCATGTATAACTGTATTATATGTAACAGTATTAGGCTTGACGCCTAAAGTCTCCATATAAGCAACAAATCCTTTTGCCTTTGTCAACTTCCCTTCTTTACATAAAACATTAATCATTATATTATAAGTACGCACACTGGATTTGATCTTCAATCTAAACATTTCTGCATACAAAACCCATGCCATGTCTGTTCTATTCAGCTTCAACAACAAACTCAACATCATATTACAAGTCTCAGTTTTGGACGAAACCCCCTTCTCTTTCATCATATAGAAACACATCAATGCCTCATTAGCTTTCTTCAACTCACAATATGCCACCACAAGATAATCAAAAACAATAGTGCTCTTCATATTGAACTTGCGGTGGAGAAGAGCCAACTCATCAAAAATCACCCTGTTAGTGGCAATACCATTGGTAATTAACTTCTTCAAGAGTTCTATAGAGGGTTTCGGGGATGAAAGGCGAGAAATGATAGCAATTGCAAGGCAATGAGTTTTGAAATCTAGGGAGTGAGATTGAAGATGGGTTAAAAGTTGAAAAACAAGCTGTGGGTTCTGGTGAAGGTGGGTTAGAATCGGAGAGATGACAGAAGGAGTCAAACTGGAAGCAACCTGCTTGATAAAATGCCACCGAGAAGATTGGATTAAATCTAGAAGTAGAGATTCAGAGATTGGAGGAGTTGATGGATTATTGAAAACAGTTGCCTGGGATTGAGAGGAGAGATTTGAATGAGGCGTAGTGGAGAAATGGGCATGGGACAGAAGATTGTCTGTGGACAAAAGGGTTTTGAACTTGCAGAGTTTGGAAGATTTGAGATTGAAGAATTTAACAAGCTTCATAGTGAGATGAGTATAAAAGATTACGTTGCTTGATGCAGAATCAAATTTTTCCTTGATCGATAATGATTGACCATGATGCGGACTGAAACTTATTCAGATAGGAAATGAAAAATTAGGAAATGGAAGAAATTTTTCAATTTATTCACACAAGAACTCTAGAATTCCTGCAACTTTGTTCAGAGAGGAAAGTGAAAAACTGAACCTGGAAGCAAAAAGATAACATAATTGAAACCTAAAAGGCCGAAACTAAGCCAATTATAGAAAGAAAAAATATTCAGATTGAGTAGAATTCATATATTCAGATTGAGAAGGTCCAGTAGGAGCAGCAGCAGAACTTTAGTCTTCCCCTTTTTATCTATAACAGAAACAAAAAAATATACTTGTAAATACTGCTTTACTCACATCCAAGGCAATAATAGATCACAAATAATCCAAATTAAATACTGCTTTAACCCAAATTTATACCACTGCCAACGTACATGGAAGCTTGCACCCAAAATATTTCAAGATGAGACTTGCCATCAGCAAAAAATAAACCATGCCCTCCCTACTTCCCCGCATAGGCGGAGCTATACTACACTCAGCGGGGGCATCTGCCCCCACTGAAATCTTTAAAATATGCATAGCTGATATAATGTCCTTTTAATTTTGTTCCAGATACTTTGACACAACTCGAGCCAAGTCATTTATAAGATCATACATCACAAGTACCTTGAGAATTTCCAAATTTGATGATAATATAAAAAGATTATTAAACAGAATGCCAAAACACAACAAATCCAACATTGCCAAAAAAAAAAAAAAAACAATATCCAAATCATACAAGCCGCCAGTGACCAAAATGAAGAGGGAAGAAGTATAATAGCCAATTATGCACCATTCAAGCAAAAACTAGTACAAAAAAATAAACTCAATAGGTAAATATTCCCAAAACCAAAGATGTCAATATTCAACGATTACACGACCAGATTCAAAGCCAAATTAAAATGAAAAGTTTAAAACAAAGCAAGAACAGCGGGAACAGAGGACGCAGGGAAAAATTCAAATCTAGATTCAAAACACCAGATCGAACAAATCAATGTCACCAGATTTTGGGAGTAGGAAAAGCCCTAGGGGTCGAGCCTTCTTCACTGCTTGCCCGAGAACAACCACTCAGGGCTGACAACGGTGGACCGCGTCCGACGGAATATGGGATGCTTGTTTGTTGACTAATAGAACTGGATCCGCCACTCACGAGCAAGGGTTTTATCGGGGTTTACAATTAATTTGAGGAAGAATTTGGTATTGGCCCAAAATTAATTATTAAAATAGCAAAATTAATTACTCCAAATAATAAAACTGACAATAAAATCTCATTAAAATATATAAATAATAATTAAATTTTTTAAAATATCATAATTTTTTTAAATTTATAAATATTTTTATAAAATTAATAATTTTAAATTAAATAATTAAATTATTCATTGTTTAATATAGTCTGTCACAACTTTTATTTAAATATAATTTTTATTATGTGAATCATAAAAATAAAATAATAAATAATAAATTTTTGTATAAATTTTTTTATAATTAAAGTTCAAATTTTAAAAATAAATAATCATAATTTTTATTATGTGAATAGTAAATATTAAATAAGTACAATTTATTTATAAAAATTGCAAATATGGAATAAGTATAACTTTTGTGGATCATAAAGAATAAATAAATAATTACAACTTCTCACATAAAATTTCTTTTATCATTAAAGTTTAAATTTTAAAAATAATTAGTTATAATTTTTATTATTTGAATCACAATTATTGAATAAAAAATTATAACTTTACATGTGAAATTTTTTTGTCATTAAATAAGGGACAATTTAATTATTTAATTTAAAATCATTAATATCAAAAAAGTATTTAGAGATTCAAAAGAAATTACACTCATTTTGAAGGATATAATTGTCATTTATATATTTTTTTGAGATTTTATTGTCATTTTTACTAAAATTTATTTTATAAATTTATACCTAACTCTTCTATATAATATACATTTTAATTTTTTTAAACTTTTCATTCTCATTTTTTATTTGGAGAATGACATAGAGATCCCAAAAGAACTAATTAATTCAAGTTAGGTTTCTAGCATTAAATTTTAAAAACTTGTAACTCAATCTCTCAATTTTATAATTATATTGTAATGAATTTGTAATTTATATTTTAAATTTTAATAGGAAAAATAAATTTTTTATTTTTCAACCATACTAAAATTTAAAAAATAAGTTATAAATTCATTACAATACAGTTGTAAAATTAAGATATTGAATTGTAAATTTATGAAATTTGATACTTGAAACCTAACTTGAATTAATTGGACATTTTGATATCCCTTTATCATTCTCTCCTTTTTTTTTCCAACTAGAAAATGGTGTGATGCATGAGGGGAAAATTTACTTATTTATTTATTTTCTTTTTTTTTTTGGAAATTATGTGGGTTTGTATCTTTATGAGAAGTTCTAACTTAATAAAATATGGCTCCAATATTACATTCAATTTATGATCTATTTTTAGTAAGTCCTAACACATTATATTTGTTTTAATTTTTTTCTTCATCAAATTTTAGACGTTTTGAATTGCATAGAATGTGATTACAATAGTTGAATAAAAAAAGTAGATTATATCTATATATTTGCTACTTGGATTGAGAGATCTTTTCTAGAATAAAAAAGAATTTGGATTTAGTGTCTATTCCTAATATAAACATTAAATGCTTGTCCTATTTGAGCCGTTAAAATTTAGATTGACAATTTTGATAAACTCATTCATTTATTAATCTCAAGTGAAGTATGAATTTGAAATTGTTAATATGAATTTCAATGGTTTATATAAGAGAGGCTATGTTAAGGATAGGCACCAAATCCAAATCCAATAAAAAGAGCATGTGCATTAAAACATTAAATTTAATTAGATGCTTTAATATAAACATAGGATGGAGTAATTTGATGAGAAAAAAGAAATGAAAGTCATGTGAAACTAAAACAAAAAATCACATCTTTGTGCTCTCTTTTTTCAATTCAAATAAAGCATAATTTAAAAAGTCTTAATTATTCTTAAGAAAGGAAAAATCTTGATTAATAAGTTATAATATTTAACCATGCTTTGAGTTTGGCCGGAAAATAAAAAACCAAGCTTTGAGCTAAATAAAAAAAAGCATGATTAAGCTGTTGAAACAAATAATCATCCCTAGTCCCATTGCTCTATCATTGCTTTGTGTATTATTTAACTTTAACAAGACCACTATATGCTCATAGGCTGTATTCACACTATCAAGGAGTCAGTCCTCAAAATGAAAATTTAAATTTCTATTTTTAAAAAAGTATTTACATTCAATGTCTGATAATGCCACAAATATGATTATTTTTAATAGGAGAATATTAATGAACAATCAAAAAATAACTTGTTACTATTTTTATTTTTATTTTTACTTTTGTGCATACTAAAAATATAAACACCTGATTATATTTATGAACTTATTACTTTGGAAAAAATTAAAAGATAATTCAAAAACTATATAAATATAAAATATGTTAACATGACATCATAAAAATATAATATAAAAATAATTTTTAAATTTTGGCAATCTCGATCAAACATGCTTTGATTTTTTTTTTTAACAAAATAAAAAAAGGTATGCATAACAAAAAATATATTGTGACAAAAAAGTTGAGAAAAAAAATTAACTTTTTTTAAAGTGTGGTAAGTCCCACAATTACTGTTAATTTTACTATTCCTTAAACAGTAAAATTTTTTATATTTTACAGTATAAGATAAAGATAAGATAAGATTCTCTCATACTCATTTTTTTTTCAATTAATCAAAAAGAATCTTAGCCTCGTACCATGTTGAATAGAATTAGAGGAGATAAATGAAATTGACTAAAAAAAAAAAGTTGATAAAACTATATATTAACGCATAGTCTTACCATATATTAACACACTCACATATATGAAAAGTGAAGGTAATAATTTAAAATATATAATATTATGACATGATAAAATAACAATTATTTTACAAATTTTAGAAATTTTTATATTATATATAAATATATTAAATATTTATGAGTGATAAAATAAAAATTTTGGTAAAACAATTCATCTTTTATAAATACACAAACATAATAATTATAAAAAAATAAAAAATATCAGAAATATTAAATTTTACATTTTTTTATTAAATAAAATTAATTTTAGATTCAATTAAAATTTACATTCACTTAAGTAAAATCAAATAAAAATAGAAAATAAAAAATGAAATACCAATTATTATTATAATAAAATTGAATTTCAACCCTCATTTAAACTATCTCCATATTATGGGGATGGTTCGTAACTTCGTATTGACAAATTTGTATATTTTAAACTTTTTAAAAAGAATTTCAACAAGAAAATGATTTGATATTCTAAATCCGCCATTGCTTCCTCAAACATTTAAATGACACAAATAGTCAAAACCAACAAAAACTACTCTGAGGGGGAAAATCCTAGAATGTCACTTGTCAGCCAAGAATTAAGATTCAAACATTTATGTTCACTCTTCCTAAACAACAACAATAAGAGCAAGATCTAACATTTGTCTTAGGTGGTTTGGGATTTTAAATGAAAAAACGACATAGAAGTTCATGGGCAGGGAACATGTTAAAAAAAAAAAAAAAACCTCTAATGTGAATCAGGATTTAGGTTGCGAGAAGCAAAGAAAACAACGAACAAACGAAACAAAGAATCTCAAGCACGAATAAAACCGAACCATAGTCTTCAGTAATTAGTTTATTGCCAATGGAGGAGAAAAGCCACCATGAGCATCCACAATAAAGCAACGGACCACAGTCAAAAGTCAACGATGACGATGATTAATGCAACAAGTAGAGATGACAACGACGAACTGGAGACTGTAGACGAAGACAGCGATGGTGGCAGCATGTGTCTCTATGGGAGGAGGCAATACTAAGGAAATTTGCAAGGATTTTGAGGTGGAGGATTGGAGACTGAACAAATGAGCGCACAAAGCAAAGAGATGAAGAGAACACAACCAAAATGGAAGGGGAAAAAAATAGACTTGTTTGATTAGATGTAAGCATTTTGATAAAAATGAAATTGGAAAAGGAAATTGAAAGGGATATGGAAAAGAAAATGGAAATAGAACTAAAAAGTAGGTTTGTTGAGAAGAAAAAGGAATGAGAATGTAGGTTTGGTATGATAGAAAAAATGGGCAGAATTCAAATGTATTTTTTGTTTGGTATTCATGAATTATGCCCATAAAAAAAATAAAAATAGTAAAATTTCCATTACACCCTCATGTCTTTCTTTATCTAAACCTCAAATCTGTGTTCTTCATGGGATAATTCAGAAACTAATATGAACTCATGAATTCAACAATCAATCAAATAAAAATTATGGAAGACGAATAAAGAACTGGGTACCAAAAATTCAAACCTAGTAAACAATTTTTTTTTTAAAAAAATCAAAACCAAATATTCAAACCCAAGCCAAAAGAACAAAAATAACCCAAATCAAAAGGTACTAAAGAGAATCAGCCGATACATATGAGATATAGCAAATTCGTTCGAGAGCTTGAGTCAGGAAATAAAAAAGATCAAAATATTAAAGCGTTTTCTAGAAGCATCGTTTGGTGAATCAAATTGGTTTTATAAATTTTTTTTTTCAAATATATCATATATGAAAATTTAGAGTCAATAATTTAGGTTAAGCTAAGCAAGTCAGCTTTAATAAATCCAACAAAAAAAAAAAATCCATGACTGAAATTAGCAAAATAATTTTTTGATGATCTGGTGTTCAAGGCTAGCCATATAAGCCTATGAAAATTGGGCCATGCACTACTGGGTTTGTGCTTAGTCCACATACCCAAAAAAAAAACATTTTTATAAAATATATTAAATATTAATTAATTCTTTAAATTTTATGTTATTTTGTATTGATATATTATATATTTGAGTATATTATTATAGATATTTTCTTAAAAAATAAAATATTTACATTGTTATTTTTATTATTTTTAATCTATAAAATATTTCAAAATAATGTTTAAAATGTATAAAATATTTTTATTCTTGATTTCTAAACTTTAAGATCCTCAAATCAAATTCTTTTGAAAAAATTAAGTCTTCTTCATTTTTCAAATATCTCAAAAAGTATATTTTTTATTTTTTATAGTA